ATAAAATTTTATTCGTCACTTGTACATAAGAATTTATTCGAATAAATCCTTATTTACAAGTAACGAATAAAATTTTATTGCATAAAATTTTATTCTCACTCTTATCTAAATCAAGTTTTATCTAAATAATGCCCAACACTGCAATAGACCTATTTTGTAATGAGCCGGCACTGGTTTCTGACATTCACCCGTGTTCGAGATTCCGTCATCACGGCGCGCCATCTCATCAGATGGCAGCATCGATCGGGTATCGACATGCTAGCTTCACGCGGCAACTAGCGCAAGCATTGGCGCGCTCATCGCGAGCTTCTTCCTCGCGATTGATAGAGTCAAAGATGGCCGCTCTTTGATCTGACGTGTCTCGTGTGCTCTGTGCGATTGAGTTAGTAACTCCGCATCGAAGTGCCTAACGCAGTGAATTAAGGGGATCCTAAAGCTGTTTGTATTACCGACCAAATTCTATATTTGTCGTTGTATAGACAATGATGATAGACAAGGATAGACATGGTTATAGGTTATAATTTCTTCGAACGTCTCATTTTTATTCCGGGCTTTCAATCTCAATTTCTAAGGTACGTTATTGTTTGTGCACGTCTTCTGAAGGGTGGGAAGGGAACATTTCATTTCGTACATATTACTTAACAACTGTTTATATTAGAAAATGAGGTAACAGCATTTTTAATTTTTTTCAATTATTACTAATTATTTTACATTTCCACCTTTCATTAGTACATATACTTTACTTCTGTAAAAGGATTTTGCGATCTATAAAGCCGTTTCAAAATTCGACCTTTGACTGTAATTGTCGGTAATTGAGTCACTTTAGCATCCCCTTAAGCTGCTGAGATACACTCGTGAACTGTGAAAGAGACCGCTCATTCAGCTCTGGTGCATCGACACGACGACTCAAGCTCACACGTGCGCGAGTGCCGACCGCCACGTGTCTCATCGGCTCACGGGCTACACATCACGAGCGGGGCGATTAATATAATTGCCTCTCAAGTATTCAGACAATCAAACAGACTTCTCGTTAACAGACAACTCATTGTTTCTCAGGTCAGATTGTAAAATTATTGCTCATTAAAGACGGCTCAGACTGTGCTCTGAGTTACATTTAAAATCAACGAGTGATCAATTAACACCCTCCACGCGCGTCCTTCTCATCCCGCTTCGGGATTGTGATCCCGAATGCCAAAAGCGCCTCTATGAGTGTCTATTCTCTCTCGTTTATTTCTAAGTTTTCGGCTACCGAAGCTGTGGTACTACGACGATCTGTCAATACATTCATGACAGAGATTCGGTTCTGAAGAAGTCGCTCGAGCATAAAATATGACGAGTTCCATCTTGTCTTGCAACTTTGTAAAAGACTCATCGTAGGTAGACCGAGCTGCTCTTGTTTCTGTTGAAGCGCGTATTTTGCCACATTTGAGTGTTTAAATTGTGAAACAATTTTGCTGGATTTCACAAGCAGTTTTTTAATATCACCTCCAACGAGCACTTTGTTAACCGTTAGCTGGAGACTATGAGCAGCACAAGTGAGACCAAACTTTTCTGAAACTTGCTGGAGTAAGTGAGTAGCGTTTACAATATTTGTGGCATTATCGGTGACTACTGCCATGACTTTCTCATTAATGTTCCAGTTAACAAATAATTCCTCCATTTGACTGGCCAAATTTGCTGCTGTGTGATGCTCCTCCATTTCGTATACTCCAAGAGTGAAGCATTTAGGAGTCCAATTCTCATCCAACATGTGAGCGATTAGAGTGACATAAGAATGCTGTGTTAAAGAAGACCAGCAATCAGTAGTGCATGAAACAGCAACAGCATCTTTCAACGCGACTTTATTTTTTTTTCAACATTATCCTTTTAGATTCAACCTTTTTTTAGGGCTTTATCTTTACATGGAGAATAGCTTGGCTCTGGTTGATTGCAATCATTTTAGCCAATGCTTGGTGTATATGAGTTGCTTTCGCTCTGCATTGCAAACAATGTTGGTTTGTATGTTGCGCTGCTTCCGTCGGCGTTTCGGAATTGGGTTATTCTTATAAAAAAGTTTTCCAAATAAGTAAGGTGTAGAAGAGCAGGGAGAGAACGTTTTGAACCATTACGGATCGCGTGTTATACGCGGTTGCATTAAAGTATCGTTATCAGTATTTTGACACCGACGTGCAACGTCTCGTGAGAAAACACGGTATCAATCATTATTCCATGTATTCGGTGATGAAGGCGTCGGTCGTCGAGCGATTCAATCGCACGTTAAAAAACAACATGTGGAAGATGTTTACGCTCAATGGAACTTACAAGTGGTTTGACGCGTTATCGCGACTCGTGTCGGATTACAACGCGCGCAAGCATCGAACGATCGGCATGCGACCCGTTGACGTTACCCCCGCAATCGCCGAAAAACTCTTGTGTACAGCGCGATAAAAATCGCGGGCCCGGCAAAGTTTAAAGCGGGCGACTCGGTACGCGTCAGCAAATACAAGACACTTTTCGAGAAGGGTTACACGCCGAATTGGATCACCGAGGTGTTTAAAATCGTTAAAGTGCAACATACCAATCCCGTAACCTACCTACTCGAGGACTATCGTGGAAAATCCGTCGCTGGAGCGTTCTACGAGTACGAGTTGCATCGCGCGACTTATCCGGACGTGTATCTCGTGGAGAAAGTACTGCGCAGGAGGGGCGACGAGGTTTACGCGAAATGGTTGGGATTCGATGGATCGCACAACTCATGGATACACAAGGACAATGTGATTTAATTCGTGCAAACTGTATTTTATTTTTATTATAAAAAATGATACATGTAAAGTGTTTGAAATATGTAATACATATAAAGTATATAATAAAAAATATTAAATACTAAATACATGTGCGATATCCTTATTAATAT